TGTTTTTAGCCATGTGGTTCAACCACCATCCTAGACCTTATATGTGACCATCAGACACATCCATGAGGCAGTTCAACTCACCAACCTTACAGAAAAGCAAACCACAAACAAACAAACAAACAAACAAGGATTCTGCAAGGATAATGAATAGGCTCACAGTGGGCTGGGGAAAGGCAGGACTGCATCCCAAGTGAGCATCACATGCTGGAGTTACTTTTATCTTCACTCTAGCTCATCATCCTACTGGAAGGGGAATCAAGACTCACACTGTGAGTCTGACCCTGCGGCAATTACACAAAAGTAAGCAGGACTGAACCTGTGTGGAGTTAGAAAACTGTGCCTCAGACAGCACTGTTCTGGGGAGAAGAATCAGGATCAAAAGTTGCTCTGTAAACACACCACCACCACCAAAGTGCCAGGGAAACAGAGCATGATGCACGGCCACATCTGGGGAAAAAAGCCTCGGCCTTAGCTCCATTAAGTATTGCAATGGGAATACACATAGTAGAATTATGCAGAAATACTATATTTTGTCTGTTGCTTTTTAGATGTATGGTTTCTTAGACATACAACACATTCTTATCAGATAATACATTTATAATCTTCACAGATGTTACATTTGGTAGCAGACAGCCCCAGCACACCAAAGCCCATAGGAGAAAAGTCCTCTCCTCGTACACATCCAGAAGAAGCAAGCTCTGATGGTATCTGGTTTAAAAATGGAGATGAATGAAGGGGACAAGACTGAAATACTTATTCCACATGTGTCATTACAATGTGCAAGGCATTTCTAGTAAAAAAATTAAAAAGACAGGAACATCATAAAGCAGAGACAAGATTTCCTTTTTAAGGTGGTAAAAGTCTGGTTCAAATGTCTGTCTGGGCCTGGGATACCTTCATCTAAACCCACATCTTTCAGCACCAACATGCAAAGAGTAAAGCCCAGAAAAAGAAGTAAAAAAACACCCGTCAGAAAAAAAATATACCTAAGTGGAGAAGGCTGTTTAAATTTCTCTTGCAAAGTGAGACACAAGAATTTGCACAGGCATCTCTTGGAGAGTAAGTTCCCAGTGCTGTGGATACTCTAAGCTAAGAGTTGTAAAGAACAGTGTTAAAGAAGCTGCACTGGGTAATGTATGAGAGAAGACAAAGTAAGGAACTGGAATGTAAATGGAAAACATTCATTATACTGTATAATTAAGCACTGTGTATACGCATATAAGCACATGGTATATAAGCATGTTTGATCTACCTTGCTGCTTTGTCCACCATTTAATACAGTAATTTAGAAAAAAAACCAAGTGACTAATGCTTGCAAGCAGAGCAAATTAGCTCATAGCAGCAGAAAGGTTAGTTTAGTTTTCCAGGTTTCTCAGTGATGACTTGAGCAGGTGTTGCAGTAGTGTCCCTTTTCAAGCGGGACCTGGCCTGTGCTGCTACCAGCCAAGCTCTGGCAGGGGGATTAATGCAAGGGATGACAAGGCCAAATGACTGTGACAGGATTTCCCTATCTCTGCTACCCATATGCATTTGTATCTTGCCACCTTGAACATTTGATTTTGTTGGTGCCTGTGGTTCGGCAGAAGAGCTGAATTAGAAAAGAAGAGTTATTTTTTTGCATTTCCCACTGACTCGTGGTGTGACTGGACTGTGTCACGTTGTCTCTGTAGGCTTTACCTTCCAGAGATGCAGGATGTCTCACAAAGAGCATGAGAGAGAAGTCTGCACAGGAGAAATCTTCGTGTTGGTATTTCATAATCAAACACATTTGAGCCTAAATGAAGGTCCTAGATACAAAGCACCAAAAGTTTAAAGCCTTCACTGAGTTTCACAGCCCAAGACCAATCTGCACCAAGCAAAACAACCTCAAGTTCCTCTCACCTCTGCTCATGACCATTCATGTGTGTTAGGGTAAACACTGCCCCAGTATCACAATCATATACATTACAACAATATGGAACAAAAATTGAAGGAAGCAGAAGGGGGAAAACATGAACAAATGTGTTTCGACACAGCTCACTGAATGTTGCTAAAAGTTTTTAATAATCGACAAGGCAAAAAGTCTCATGGTCGCACGAAAGCCTGGAA